TTTTTCAAGCACCTAGTGTAGTGAGTTCTTCATATTTCTAGTGTAAGTTTATATTTTCCCTGTCATTTAAATTCTTGTTCGATTTATATTTTTTATCATTTCAATTCAAGTTTATTTTGATTCCTTTACTTTTAATTGTTATCACACTTCGATTAAATTTAACTTCAAGTTTATTTCATTTTCGTTCTTATCGTTCTTATCGCTTTTAATTTATTCTTGCTTTATCTATCGCTTTGATTTATTTTATCACATTTCAATTCTTGTCTTTACGTTTATACGCATATTTAGTTTAATTGCATTATTTTTACTTAAAACATAAAAATCACAAAAACATCTGTATGAAACCTAACCATTCTCGAGCCCGAGAAAGTGAAAGAATCTAGGCCAAGAAGAGGTTCCTTGCTTGGCCGATCAATCGTTTGGTCAGAAGTTAGAAGTGCAACACATCCATCTATTCTCATTCCATTCAAGCCCAATTTCGGGGCTTGGTGGTGGCACGCCCCGCATCCAAAAGAAGAAGGACCAAAAGTTCCTTCCGTCGGCCTCCCCGGCCGAAAAGAGGGAAACATAACAAAACTAAAATAGACAGAGAACAATAAAACCTGGATTTGAAACTTCAAACAATTTGTGCCAAATCCTTTCTCCAAACTTCAAACTTCAATTTAAGCCTCCTTTCTCCTTGTGGGTTGTCGCATGTCCATCGTGGTCCCCAGCAAAATTGGATATTTCCTTTTCACCAATTTCCGGAGCAAGCCCACTAGAAACAGCAATTGAGGGCAATCACCATCATGCACTCAACAAAACTTTGTCCATGCATTTGGTACTTAATTGTGATTTAGTATGGTAATCACCTTGTGACTTGACAGACAACTGTCTAAATCAAATAACCTTTCATATGAGATTACCTTACTAATAGTAGCATAATTTTGTGTAGTGTACAGATCATGACCGTCGCCTAATGTATAGATCCCACAGCATCCTAGCAAGGGACGGTCCAGATCATAACCATCGTGACATTGACATATAGGCTTTTGATTATTCTAAAGCTCGGTTGCTCCTTCGTGCAATTTGCATTTAGATTGTTTCTTCCATCTCTCTACTCTCCCTCTGCTAAACATGCTTTGTTCTCACACCCTGTTATGTGTACTATAATATTAATGTAAGATTAATATGAAGTTTTTACTTACACCTTGAAAAAAAGTCGTGAATGTTTCAAATCCAAGATATCTAAATTCGCAACATCCCATCTTTGAATCCCTCCTTTTTTTTAAATAAAAATAAAAGGAATAATTGAGGTTGATCCACTAGTTAAGAGCGCTCCGATTTGGAGAGCAATAGAAGGGTTTTTGTTTTCAGAATTTTGAAGTTTCACCATAAATATGATTATTTATAGTTTCTTTTAGGATTCATGAGGTTTTCATTATGAGTTTTTGAAAAATGGTTTTTGAAATTGGAACTTAGGTGACGAGGGGTAAACTTAATCACACAAACAAGACACAACAAAACAGCAATCTTCACACACTTTAAACCTTGACCAAATACACATATGACTAGTCAACTACTAGTCAAGAAACAATCACAACCAATAGAATACACAGAGCATGCCACAATGTACCTGCAATCCTAGAAGATTACTAATGACAACCTAGGCACTCAGAAGGACCCGTCAATCTAGGCATCCCCTGTGCTAGCAACAACTATGGTGAAAGTGTGTGAAATCATCATTATCATGTAAACATCAAACAGCAGATACAAATGACTAGTCAACCACCAAGAACACAAACCCAGAAAAATTACAGATATGCAAAACAAATTTTGTTCACCCAGAAACCCACCATTGGGAAAAACTGGGAGTCATCAACCGACCAGGCATTCCACTAAGTAGAAAAAGATTCTTACAAAGGAAACACAACCAAGCTCAAGAAGCACCTAGGTCTATTTAGGAATATGAGCAATACCTCCTTTGTGCAATCTTCTTCTCCAACTTAGCAAAGCTTGAAGCTCAGTCCTTCATGGCAATGGCAGCTCCTTCTCCAGCTCGTTCATCCCATGGCACTAGCTTGCAAGCTCCAACACAAACCGAAACCAATTTGGATTCAAAGGAGAAAGACCAATTTCTTTAAGAAACCATACTCTTGAAGAAATCAATCTTGAATCTGACCTAGATATAAATGATAGAATGATTTAAGTAGCTAGATGCAGATTTGTGTTTCAAATGCAGTTTTTCAAAAAGAAATCAATTGGAAAAACTCATAGATGAAATAAGATGGTTCTCTCGAGGAAGAAGAAGCGAAAGATGGCAAGCCAAACTTTCCAAAACTTCCACGCAAAAGAGACAGCAGCCAAATGAGCAATATCGTGGGCTATACAAACCAACGAATTCCTTAGGTCAGAAAACCCACTTGGCAGCAGAGAGAGAGAAAGAAGAATAGGACAAAACAGTTTGTTATCCAGCTGGAAGCAAGGATGACTAGTCATATGAGAAACGGTTGACTAGTTATCATTTTATGAAGACTGTTTTATGTAATGATATGCAATGCTCAATACCTTTGTCAACTTGCTTGAGCCACCATAGAGCAAAGATTAGAGAAGAGCATCAATAAAAGTTTTCCCTAATCTAGACTTGAGCTTGATAAATTACATTACACATCCTATTACAAAGTTGTCAAGGGAAGCCAAAAGAAAATAGTAAAAACCATACATTAACAGTTTTTAAAATCTGCTTTGATATTTGAAATCCTCTTCACTCATTCATTCATCATTTTTGAGAGAGAGAGAGAGAGAGAGAGAGAGTCTTCTTCTTCTTCTTCTCTGCAAATGGTGAGATGAGTGAGTTATAAGGTTCCTAAAATGAGATTTTCAAATATTTTTTTAAATCTGCTTTGTTATTCAAAATCTGCATCTAGGATAGTTAAACACATTCCCATTCATATCTAGATCAAATTCTTGGATTAATTTCTTCAAGAATGGTTTCTTGAAGAAATCGATCTTTTATTCATTGAATCTACAAATTCATCGATCTGTCAATCCGGAGCTGAGTTGCGGTGCCATGGGGTGAAGGAGCTGATGGACAAGCTGCCATTTCCATGAAGGACAAGCTATTAGCTCAACTAAGTTTGGAGAAGAAGGTTGCACATAGAGGTAGTGCTCATTTCCTAAATAGACCTTGGATTGCTTGAGCTTGTGATTACTTTTTCTGTAAGAACCTTCTTAACTTAGTGGATTGTCTGGTCGGAGTGATGACCCCCAATTTTTCCCAATGGTGGGTTTTTGGGTAAACACTTCTAGTGTGAATATTTGATTTATATGCCTAGTCATATTGTTTGTGTTATATCTAAAATGTTTATGAGTGTTCACACACCTATCACTTTAGTTGTTGTTAGCACATGGGATGCCTAGATTGACGGGTCCTTTTGAGTGTCTAGGTTGTCACATAGTTATCTTTTAGGCTTGCAGAGATTTGAATATTTTATATGATGTGCATCTGTGTTATGTTTATATGTTCATAAGTCTATGACTAGTCATATCATCTACAGGTTTATTTGATCATTATTGTCATACATCTGTCCATTGGGATTTTAATTTACCCCCTTCACCTAAGTACCAATTACACAACATAAACATGATGTTCAATTGGTGTGTTTGGAATTGGAACAGACCTCTCATTCTGAGGTTGGTTACAACGATTTGAATTGAGCCAAAAAAATATAGAAAAAAAGAAAGAGGCATGAATGGAGGTCGGTTATCCCTAATCTTCCACAACGACGTAAGATAGATATATAAAAATTTCAAGCTTATGCAATGAACAATTTTAGAGCTAGAAAATATGGCTTTGGTGTTAGATAGGTGGGGTAAAACAACAAAAATTAAGCTCCGCCAAAGGCCATTGTGTGTCATTCATATGCATGTAACCATTTTGACATTGACAATTTGACATATAATGACTTTGATTATTCTAAAGCTCGGTGGTTAAGTTATTTTCTTTTATTTATTTATTGATTTTGTTTGCTTTGCTCTTTCCTGGAATTCGCATTTAGATTTGCGTTTTTATTTCTTATGTTCAAGTGGACCTAGCAGCCACCTTAATTCTAGAGGGAAATTATACAGTTGACAGCAAGTGCCGTTGGACTCGCTTTTGACCAAGTCCGTTTAGCAAACCCATTATTATTTTTTAGAAATCTTTTAAAATTATTCTGTAATGAGATAATCATGCGATGAGAGAGATAATTAAAAAAAATGAACATACATATAATAGGCTACAAGCTCCACAGATAATATTGTTGTAGTAAATTATAGGATACTTAAGAATAGTAAGTTTCATAATATTGTTGCATTATTTCAACATTGTTACATTGGTCCTCCGATGAATAGAGAAAATTTTGAATTACAATAAGACCTGACAAGTGACATGGTGTTATAATTTACCTTTGTAACATGTATATATTTATTAGTATTATATTTTAAAAGAGCTGATTTCCCCACTTCCTTTTTCTCCACTTATACTCCCTTTTGCTTTTTAATATTTTTTAATCAATTTTGTTCTTTCTATTTCCTATTCTATCCTTTCCCTACATTAATTTCTTTTTTACTTCATTTTTATATTATTTCTTTTTCTTTATACTTAATTTTCCAACTTACACTCCATTTTCAAAAAATTAAAGGAAAAGAAATAATATTGAAAAGGGAGTGCAAGTTGGAAAATTAAGTACAAAGAAAAAGAACTAATATAAAAGTAAGTAAAAAGAAATTAATGTAGGGTAAGGGTAGAATACGAAAGAGAAAGAACAAAATTGATTAAAAAGTATTAAAAAGCAAAGGGAGTGTAAGTGGAGAAAATGGGGGCAAAGGGAAGTGGGAAATCAAATCCCTATATTAAAGTATGAACCTTTCATCCCAACTAGCTTGGTCTAGAGGCCGCAAGTTTATTCTTCTACATATTGCTCAAAAAAATAAAAGTACAGGTGAGCTAGTAACACCCCGTGATGATATTATGAAGTCATTCATTCACTCGAACAATATAGTGGGGCCCAGTATTGACTATCCTCTCTGGTCGCAGCAAAAGTGGGCTTGTGGTGGTCACCAGTTTCCGGAGCAAGGCCAGCAGCAGCAGCAACTGAGCCACCCACAAAATGTAGATGAGAGGCTGCCAGGAGGGGTCATGGGGAAATAAAATGTAGAGAAGTGAAGTAACCGAGACTGAACCAAACAGCCTCATGGCCATAGGGCACCAGAAATGAGCATATGCAAGATTTTGTCGACGAGCATAATGTCTTATACTTAGCACCCACAAGCTGAAGGCCAAGCAATAAGCAAGTAAGCTTGACAGCACAACGCTCATGACCGTAGGGTGTGTAACGTGTTTGGAAGAGATCTTGATCAGCTGGATATCTGATCTGCACCAACGTGAGGAATGTTGGAATGATGAATGCAAGAATGTCGTGATCATAGAGTGTGTTCCTCAACTGCAGGTTGAGATTGTTAAACAAGTAAATGACATTGAAATTAAGGTTAATATTCATCCCAACATTCAAAACATAAAAATGATTAACTGCAGCCATTGAGTTTTCTAGTTTTGGTTAATCACAAGAACAAATTACCTAGGCTATCTAGTTTTATAAAGAAATTGTGGGTCCACTAATGATCCTAGGCTTTGTTTTTTCCCTTAAGAGTATCATATCGATTTGACCCTTAATTAATTAACTCAAATTCAATCGACTGCTTTACAAATCAAGCACATTGCCTTCGCAGCCCATTGGGATTTGATACTCTGTCATTTTCGATTTGGCTTTCAACAAACAGCCCATTTTGTGTTGTCTGGGTAATAATACAGCCCATGGCAGACCCAGGAATTTTTTAAGGAATTGGCTAAATTTTTTTTTTCGAGGAGATCTTTTATAACCATGAATTCTTGGGCTAATTAATATTATATGATAGGATTATATATTTTATATATAAAATATGGTCGGATTTCTGTGGGTAGAAGAAAATAAAATCTGATTTAGGTGGCTAGGATAGGCTAAATTCTAAAAGATAAGTGAGCTAATATTTAATTATAGTGGATACTATTGTACAATAAAGACTAAAGTGCAAAACTAGCACTGGGCTAAAGCCTAGTTGAGCCCCTTCATGGATCCGCCCTTGCTCATTGTTAATCAAGAGCTCAAGCATATCTCGACTAGCTTTTATATAAGTGTTTGGATGTAAGAGCTGATAGGGTTCCTAGTTCTATAGTGATTGAGATTCATTGTTTTGTTGCATTAAGGATTCACTTGGTGTTTCTTGATGGGCAAGACACCTTGAGGAATGCGTATAAATAGAGGGCTCCCTCCTCAGTCGATGATATACAACTTGTAAAGTAATTCACCCCATCTGAAACTTGAGACTAAGGCATCGACTCTAGGAGAAGAACTCTCTTCTGTTTACTTAGGCTTTTCAACTCCATGGCTAGTGTTTGATATGTTTATAGCTTATGAAGTTCACATACTTTCTCTCTTCTCCAATGATATCGACTCACTTGTATCTTGGCACATATAGATATATATATATATATATAAAGAAAAATACGAATATAATTTATTTTAGCAAATTACAACTTAAAAGTTTGGCAACTATATTATATTTTAATATAATTTAATTAAAATTTAAATATATATTATTTTTATTTAATAATATATGAAAATTATGTGTATAATACGTGAATTTTGTGTGCCTTATTGAAAATTTTGTAAAAAATATGTATATGTACAATACGAGTATTGTACGTTTGCTTTTTTTGAAAACGTGAATTTTACTGAGTCTTTAAGACTTGTACAAAATATGGATGTATTATTGAAAAATACGTACACACGTGTATAACACAGTATTAAATGTGAAAGTACTAAATTCTTAATACGGGTAATAACTATGGAAAAGTAAAAAATCAAAAGGGGGCAATAGAGACTTGGGTAATTTCCTAATAGTAATGGATAATGCTCTAAAATATTCTTACCGATAAACGAAAATCGTAAAAAAAAATTAAAAGAAAAAAAAGGATCCCAGCATATATATAAAGCGTATAGCTGCTCAGCTATACTATTTATTAAAACAATAATTTTTAAAAAAGAGCACCATAAAGCCACGCGACTATACTATTTTTTTAAAAAAATAAAAAAAACCGAGTATAGCCGCCGGCCTTACTTTATAAAAATAAAAAAAGCACCGGCCTAGGGCTCCAGGGCTTGCGTGTCAAAACAGTAACGCCGCGCGGCTATACGATTTTTTTTTAAAAAAACCGTGGTATAGCCGTGCGGCTATACTATTTTTAAAAAAACATTTTATATTTAAAAGGTATTGAATATAATAAATAAATAAATAAATAAAAAGGACCCACCTAATTGTATTAGTTTATACTTTATAGATATTAATTTTCTAGTTTCAACATATCCAAAGCATATATTGAAGAGAGAGAAATTTCACAGTAAATCAATATGAGAGTTCAATTATTTCTTTTTTTTGGTGTGGGAATGTTTGCCTTTGATCGACCTCGTTCTCTCAAGTGCTACTAAATTATGTTACTGTACACATTATTTGTCTTAGAGAATTGCATGCTAAGTTGCAATGTTCTTGGTAATTGCTTCACTTTTCAAACAACACTTTACATGAAGAATACTACCGCCTATGTTAGTGCTATACTCATAAATCTTTGTTCGAAATTGTTGTTCTGGTTGGAAAACATATTACAAAATCACCACCTTGCATTTTTGTTACAACAAGTAAGAAATAATATTAGCCTCCCACATTCATTCATAGGTAGTAAAATAGGGAATGAGAAAAAATACAATGAAATACGGACGTGCTTTATTCAGCAAAATTTTGGCAAATTACAACTTAAAAGTTCAGCCACTATATTTTATTTTAATATAATTTATTTATATTTTTTAATATATATTATTTTTATTCAATAATATGTGAGAATTATGTGTATAATACGTGAATTTTGTGTGTCTTATTGAAAATTTTGTCAAATATACGTATATTAAACATGAAAAATACGTACGTACATACATGTACAATTCGAGTATTGTACGTTTGCTTTTTTTAAAAACATGAATTTTATCGGGTTCTTAATACTTGTACAGAACACGGATTATGTATTATTGAAAAATACGTATATACGTGTATAATACAGTATTAAACGTGAAACTGCTAAATTCTTTATACAATTAATAACTGTGAAAAAGTAAAAAAATCAAAAGGGGACAATAGAGACTCAAGACTCAGGTAATTGCCTAATAGTAATGGATAATGCTCTAAACTACTATTATCGATAAATGAAAATTAGGGAAAAAAATTTAAATGAAAAAAAGGATTCCAGTATATGTATAAAGAGTATAACCGATCGGCTATATTAAAAAAAAAATTGATTCAAAATCAAGGTTGCAACATGACTAGTACATGGCCCCACTCAACAAATTAATATACAGATGAAATTAGGTTCATTTACTTGTGCTCTGTCACTTGAAAAAGTAACAAGTTTCATTTTATTTGTTTATGTCATGGTTATGACTCATATGAGTTATCAGTGTTAATGGTGACGATCAGGAATAAAACTATATGGTGGTGGTACAAATGGTTTTTTCCTCCTTTGAAAATAACACAGCAGTCATCTTCAAATTTTACTAAGAAACCTCTGCCAACTTCAATAACATATCAAGATAATATTGATATAATTGCTACATTAATAGTGCTATTTGAAAGCATTTCATATTTTTATATATCTTACAATGTGCACTGTATTACGTCCTCAATTGTGTGGGTAGCCTAGTTAGCATTTTTTTTGTATAATACTTGTATTATATTCGTATGTATATATTTTTAAAAATATTTTTGTTTTTTGTACACATATGAAAGACTCGGTAAAATAATATTTTTTTACATCAAATATACAATACATGAATTATACACGTACATACATATTCTTCACGTTTAATACACGTATTTTTAACAAAGTTTTCAATAATACAAACGAAATTCATTTATTTCTTCAATAATATAAATATTATATAGTGGCTGAATTTTTCATGTGCACTTTTCACAAATTTTGCCAAATACAATACGTACATATTTTCAAGGGCGGAGCCAGCATGGGACCAGTGTGTTCACTCCATTTTTACCTCTTCTATTTGTATAATTAATTTTGCCACTGCAGATTTTATTCGTACTTTTCCTATCTTGTATTTTACTGTAACTCTGGTGGGTAGATCAAGACTATTGGACAATGCATGTGTCACACTCACTCACAATCACAGCAATGGTCTAATCGTCGCATAATGAATGTCTGACTAAATAAATAGCGAGTTAAACACATGGTTCCCTCCTTTTCTTTAAATAATAGTTGAAGATGTGTCATGCAGATTCCAGACAACCAATTGTCTCCAATCAGACACGGCTAAAAGAGAGATATAATTAGAACTCAATCAATCCAGCAAATTGTTCCGCGCACGTGTCACTATTATTCTTATATACAATAACATAAATTTTGAACTGTTGAGATATGGGTTTATTCCAATTGATATTTAGGAATATTGTAATTGATTCTTTCCTAGTTTAGAGATAGCGTGGCCTGGTGTTTAGGGTCCTAATTTGGCTAACTGCATAATTGAGGGATCTGTATTGCTGTATCAATCCCTATATGTGTACCTGCAAATATTGTATGTAAATACAATGGTATACAAAATTCCTTACACCAGATTTTACATGAACCATGTCATATTTACATATTAAATAAGATTAAAGCTAGTGCTAGTTGGGTATCTTTCACCTCCACTCATGTGGACAGAGATTCGAAATCCCCAGAGACCAGTGAATATTTGTGTAAACCTCTAAGCACCACCTTTAACCACATTGACTAAACAAAAATACTGGCATTATCATTGTTGTTGGGTTCATATACTTGATAATGTTAGCAGCATAGAATTACTGTAAATTTAAATATCTAATTATTTTTAAACAACTTACATGAGTATAAAATTTCAAATTGAGAGTAAGATCTTGCATGTTCATATTAGTATTAACATATTATTCTATTTATAGCAGTTTGACCTAGCTAGACAGCTGAAATCCCAATGTTTACAAGATAAAACTCCTCGTACATGAAAGTTGTATATGAGGGAAACAAATCCACATTGCTATTATACAATGAGTCTATCAGAAGTTAACTACATGATGCTCAGCTTGAAGGTCGCGTAGGTCCATTGTGTTGTGTGGATGGAGGAGAAAGCGAGGTGAGGTGGGAGGGAAACTGAAATGGATAAAGTGAAACCGTTTTGTCTTTTTATTTTTATTCTTTTGGGTTAAAATTGAAATTGATAAATATTTTGATGTGATGAGATGACCTAGCCCAACATGCATAGCATACTAATGGGTTGCAAGAGTATCAATTAATGGTCCTTTCTGCTTGGGCCAGCAGATGTCGTTGAAGCCAAGAATATTGTGGTTTTTGCCATGGTGACGTTTAGATGTCGTTGAAGCTTCAAGCAATGTTGGTGGTCTTGCTGCAAAGTTGACGAAGAAGAAGTGCTGATTGTTGATGAAGTGCTGCATGATGACAACATTAGAACTGTGAGGATTGATGATATTATTCACCCCAATGTAATAAGTTGCCATATAAGCTATTTTGGTGTTGATGTGGAGAAAGAAGCTGGGTTTTGAGACTTGAAAGTAGTTTTGAATATAAATTTTTTGAGGCAGAGAGGCAGCTACTTCAAGAAGAGCATGGTTAGTTTAGCATTAGGGCTCGGCGGCCAAGGAGATGAGCAAGAATAGTTTATAGTTATTTATTTCTTAACTTCCTTTAGTTATTTATTTCTCTCTCTCTCTCTCTCTCTCTCTCTCTCTCTCTCTCTCTCTCTCTCTCACACACACACACACACACATGTTACAAGCCCCCCTATTGACAAAATGTTTAATGAAAAAACCAATCTTATCAAATGATGAAAATCTTACTAACCCTTAAAATTTTGATAGCAACAGTCCATTGGAATGAATTTTTAATTTTATACAAGTGTTATAGCATACAATAGTCGCAAACCAATTACATGATATGTTTTGTGAAAGAAAAGTTGTATATAATGGTTGTATGTAATAATTTATCCTTCTCATTGTGTCCAAACTCTTTTGACTCTGCTGCTTGGTAAAGGAAAAAAAAACATTTGTGACTTGCCAAGTATCATAATAAATTGTTGTTGGGATTAGGTCTGAATGATTCTAGACGAAATTTAGTTTCATTTACAAGCGTTTGTCACTTGTTGTGTTACAAGTTTCATTTTATATGAACGAGATGGATTACTTGCACTTGAAGGAACATGATTATGAGGTTCTTGAAGATGACTTTGATGGACTTGCATGCCCGCCTCTCGACCTTGAAGCTCTCACAATCATTGAAACCCTGAGTTTCGATCTCTCCCACTTCTTCGATGACATCGACGTTGATGAACAAACCCATGGCAACTTTCAAGAAGAAGAAGAAGCCGGAAGATCAGCCACAACCGAAACCAATATTCTTTGGTAAAGGGAAGGACATGGAGACAGTCCTCTGGCTAAGTAGTCCTCCGCCCATGATCATCATCATCAACAAAACCCTAATAGGGAGCGCACCACGCATGTCCATCATCAGCAAGATTGGAATGATGAAGAAAAGATGGAGTGTAGTAACCAAAAGCTTCATCAAGAGCTTATCAAGAAGATCAAACAAGAGAAGGAAACTTCAAGTTCTTGTCAAAAACTTGCCTAAGCCTAAGCCGCATGAGCCGGAACCATTCTTTGGTAAAGGGAAGGACTTGGAAATAGTCCTCAAGCTAAGTACTCCTCTACCTTCTTAGAATGTATTTATTTCCTCCTTGTATTGTATTGTATGTCAACTTGTAGATTTTACCTCCTCGGAGAGAAGAATACACAACAAACAATTCAAACACCAAAAAAATCCCCATTCCAATTGATTAATTAATTTAACTGGAGGGAGCAACATGTGCAAAGAGACAACAATACAACACTAATGGGACAGTTTATGGTTATCAATCTGTTTCATCACAGAATGTAACAACACTTGTTCAAATTTGAACCCACTTTTTTTTCTTCAAAATCTGAACATTCCATCCACACAGGTCACAAAACCATTTTTCATATTTCATTGGAATAGAATAAAACTATGAGTAGGTAGTGAGCATTTATGAACATCTTGAGGTAGGACTATTTGGTTTAGGGAAAAAAGCCTATTCTACGTGAGAGACGATAACATTTGAGAAAATAGTTGGTCTGTGTGAGTGTGACACATTCATTGAGGTCACTGGCAAAAGTGGGCATGCCCTCCGGCTAATGCGATTTTGTGCCGCTCGTAATTCTTGGCTGATGCGCTGCCACAGCTTCCGATTTACCAAGCGGTTCAAGCTCAGCACCACCACTAGCAACAACAACAAGACGCACAAAATTAGGTAGGAGGAGGAGTGTGGAAGAAACAGAAGCCACAAGAGTGAAGCAACCGAGAGTGAACCAAACACAAGCATGGCCATGCGGCACCAATATCCCAATGAATGATCTCCAAGGCTGAAGGCGAAGCAATATGCAAGTAAACTAGAGAGCAAAATTGTGACTGCCGTAGGGTGTGTTTGGAAGAGATCTACGGCTGGATATCTCATCTGGACCAACGTCAGGAGCGTTGGAATCACGAAGGCAAAAATTTCATGGTGATGATTGGAATTATTAGAGTACGACCTCGTCCAATTCGATGCAGCAGCAGGCACTATTTGTAGCACAACTGAATAGTTCATGTACTGCTGCGGCTGATTGTTGATGAAGTAGGTGACATTGCAACTGTGGTCAGGAGGATTAATCATCATCCCAACCCAAGCATAAAAATGATGAATTGTGTGGTTGCTGGCTTGAAGTTCGGTACTCAGCCTTTTTATTAGCCAAATGCATGCCGACGGACATGTAAGTTGACAAAAAATAAAAAAAAGAACCGACAAACTAAGTCATATTAAAATAGAGGCATCTGCAGGCTGCAGCAGATAGTGTGGATCAAGACCGTCGGGTAGTAATTGCTTATGCATGGTCCCCCCTCGATCCCAAAGACGGATGGTGCAGATCAGGTTATATGTAGAGTGATTGGGGAGGGTGAAAAGCAGTAAATGAATCCTGTGATTATTCTAAAACCATGTTTCTTTCTAAATTGTCTTGGCTTAATTCCACAAGGGGGCCTTCCTGGAAATGAACCATGAAGAGCCGTGAGAAGTAACAGATATTCCTTTCATGGATTCGCAATTAAAGGAGAACCATATTACAATTGTGAGAAGGAAAACAATATTTTATTTTCGTAGCGTGTGTCTTTGACTGGAGAAACTATATAAAAACAGCTTAGATATACTTCGGTGTTGTCGGACTCAACAGCATGGCCCCACCCACTTCTGTAATTGTTCGGTGCACAATCTTTGCTTCGATCGTATAAATGTACAGACTGGTTGATTGGAGAAAATTCCTACTCATAAGCAGTGGATCCAGGAATTTTCTCTCGGGGATCAAAATATTAACATGTGAGGAAAGCTCGTGTGTTTTCTCCCTTCCCATGACACTGAATAGGTGCAAACAACTAAGCAATTATATTGGAGCCATCAATTTTCTTTTCCTAATTAAGTACCTAAAATGTAACATGATTTGGTGAATTAATTTATTAAACTTGGCATTAATTTACTAAACATGGCATTGTTACTAAAATGTAACAAGTGTGGTTATTTCCATCCGCGAATCTAACTCAGTCACTAGGGCTTGTTTCATCACTCTTAGGCCCAGTTTGGGATTGCTGTCACTTTTAAAAAAAGTTGCTTCTGTTGTGCTTTGAAAATAATTAGCTGTAAAGTAAAGCAGCTCCGTGTCTGGTAAACAAAATTTTTAAAGTGCTGTTAGTACAAAAAACAGTGTCAAAACCTTTTAGTAAGTTTTAATATAAAATTGTTGTAACTGTGAATAATGACTAAAATAGACATGATGTTAAAAGTGTTATGTACTAATCATGTGGTAGTAGTGGTAGTGATGGAGTGGAGGTGGTGGTGGTGTTGGTTGTGGAGGTGGTGGTGGATGTGGAGGTTTTGAAAGAGGTGGTGGTGGTGGTGTTGGTTGTGGAGGTGGTGGAGGTGAAGGTGGAGTTGGTGGTGGTGGTTGTGGTGGTAGTGGTGGTGGTGGTGGTGGTTGTGGTGGAGGTGGAGGTGAATGTGGAGTTGGTGGTGGTGGTGGAGTTGGTGGTGGTGGCGATGGCTGTGGTTGTGGAGGTAGTGAATGTGGTGGTGTAAATGGTGGAGTTGGATGTGGAAGTGGAGGTGGTGTTATTTTTTAAAATGAATGATGGTATTTTGGGAATTAAATTTTTTTATTAAAGGTTCATTTCTGCTTATTTTGAAAGTAGCTTTGAAAAGCAACCCATAGTCTGCTTTTAAAAGCTGCTGTCAAAAGGCTACTGCTTTTAAAAAAATCAAGATATTTTATTTTTACCAAACACCTAAAACTGCTTAACTTTAAAGTAAATCAGGTTTTTGGCGAAAAAAAGCAATCCCAAACGGGGCCTTACTTTTATTCTCTATTTACATACAACTTTGTTTGTTTCTGCTTTGTCTCATAATTTATTATTTGTTGGGCAAGTTACTGAATAGTTAAATTATTGTGTGCTCATGTTCTCTTCCTCTTGTTTGCTTCAAGATGTTCATACCATGACATACACAAATAAAACGAAACTTGTTACATAGCAAGTGATAGAATTAATTTAGACCCGATCGTGTGCATGTGTACTTAAGAAGCACTCACACCATATATGATTAAGCCGTAGTAAATTCCAATTCAAGGAAAAAGTTTAATTTGTTGAGTGGGCACGTGTGAGTGCCCTTGTTGTAAATAGATCTACCAGTCATGTCGCAACCATGTTTTGAATCTTTTTTTTAATAGTCACAAGGTTTGTATATATAATAAATTTGGTTTTACTTATAATAGACATTGAATAAGAATAAAGGAAATGCGATAAATAAGGAATGGGAATAAGATCAACCTCTTTTAGTTGATATGATTATTGGTGTTTGGGTATTTAATTAAAGATTTGAAAGTGTATATCACACTATTAAATGATTCTTTATATGTAAGTAACGGATGAGAAGTCGGGTATGGAAATCATATCCTTTCATCTATATTCCTATTACTTAAAAGAAAACGTGTGTCACATGTAATCTAAAGTAGTTTAGACATTATCAGTAGCACATAAAATGAGATGACTCGGGTAATGGTGTTGATGCCTACGACAATATTGAAAACTCAACTTAGAAAGGAAAAAAGAGATAGCATGAGAGATTGAGAGAAGGTTAAGGTAAAATATCCCAGATTGGAAAGTTAAAAAACCTTGCAAGGGCTTATGAGGAGTTGGACTAATCCCCCCAGTGTCAATTGGTTTTGGGGTGGAACCTCAACTTCCTGCCTGGTATCAGAGCAAGTTTGCGCACGTGTGAAAGCCCAACGGTCACACGTACGTGCTCCACGTCACCTAATATGTGTCGTCCACGTGTTAGGCTTGAAAATTTGCCACACATGCGGAAGGGTGTGAAAATGTGAAGGTACAATGTCCCACATTGAAAAGTTAGAAAACATTGCAAGGATTTATAAGGAGTTAGGCTACTCCCCTCCTCCGCCCCCCCGAATTGCTAATTGGTTTTTGGTGGAACCTCAACTTCCTTCAGACACGACAAAGCAACGCGTAAAATGTCCCAATGTGGCCTAGCTTAGTGGAAAAGAGCATTAACTTTCAGACTATTGGTCTCAAGTTCGAACCCCCATGACACATTGGCATTGCATGTGAAAAAAATCACCTCCCCCAATATTACTTGTATAAAAAAATATATTAAATAAATAAATCCAGACACAGTGCTACTTACAAGCAAACCAAGGTGCATGTTATACAAGATCAGGTGGAGATCGTTCTCACAATTCTCATATGGTTCTCCTTAAATTGAAAATTCCATGAAGGAATAATATCTTCCACTTCTCACTACTCTGCATGGTTCATTTCTGAATATATATAGCTTCCGGGAAAGGCCCGGGAAAGGCCCCCCCCCTGATTTATAGCCGTGTATACGTCAATGTCATGACTCATGCTTGGTGTGCTTTATGGTCAATGTAACGGCACATGATCTACAATCTCATCGCTTTCAACGGTCTTGATTTATTTATTTGAAGAATATGAGGTCACGGGTTATCCGCCACTCTACATGCGAAGATCTGCACCATTTATTATTGGGAGTGAATGTGACCCATGCATAAGTAACTATTTTCCAACGGTCTTGATCTACACTCTACCTTGTACACTATCTGCTGCAGCCGGCTGCATCTAGTTCAAGTCAGATATGCCAATGTTTTAAATTAATATGGTCCAAATTAACGGAGATGCTTCGAAGCTATTTAGGCCATGTCGGCAGCATCAGACTATAATAATTTGCCCAAGTCAACACATTTTGGTCCAGTAGGACCTCCATTTCTGTATAAAATGGATGATTAGATTTCTCAAGACACGTCTCAGAAACAACGCAATTCATCATATTTATGTTTGGGTTCGGATGATGATCAATCCTGTTCACGGTTGCAGTGTCACATACTTCATCAACAATCAGCCGCAGTACTTCATGAACTACTCAGTTGTACTACAAATAATGCCTGCTGCTTCCAATTCGACGATGTCGTATTCTATTGGTTACAATCACCATGACATTTTTGCCTTCATCATTCCAACACTCCTGACGTTGGTCCAGATGAGATTTCCAGCCTTAGATCTGTTTCAAACACACCCTACGGCCATCACAGTTTTGCTCTCTAGTTTACTTGCATATTGCTTCGCCTTTAGTTTTGGTGTTCATGCATATGAATGGAGCCGCATGGCCATGCTTGTGTTTGGTTCACTCTCAGTTGCTTCACTCTTGTGGCTTCTATTTTTTCCACACTACTACTCCTACCTAATTTTGTGCGTCTTGTTGTTGCCCGTGGCAGTGCTGGGCTTCGATCGCGTGGTTCGGAAACTGTGGCTAAGCATCCACCAAGAGTTACGAGCAGCACAAAATCTCATTAGCCGGAGGGCATGCCCACTTTTGCCAATGACCTCAATGAATGTATCACAGAGGCAAACTCTTTAGTCAAGTGTTATTCTCTCTCGCCTGGATTAGGCCTTACAAATTTCATAATTAATTTCATTGATCCCACGTCATATGAGAGAGTTGAGATAAAAGTCAAAGAATAAGTTAGTGCCTAGTGCTTGTATTGTAGTCCTACTATGTAGTGTGTACTATTAGTTCATCCATATTCATTTTTGCCCTATTCTATTAGCATGAGATTCATATAAATGTTATGAAACCCAATTTCAGTTTCTTACTCTCACTTCTCTCCCAATTTCAGTCACACAATTTCGTTCTACAATTCTATGATAATACTTTGATTTCGCTATTCGCACATTCCAAGACTTGTTGTATTTTAAAAGTGATTTTTCAAGAATCCTTTAGAAAACTCAATTGTGTCGGAGTCTCTACTCTAACCTATCTCTATGGTAACTCTTTCCTCCTTCGATCAGGATGTCCATGATAAAGGAAAATTTTATACATGAGATTTTGGGCCGTTATAAATCAATTGAAACATCAATGGCCGTACTTTAGTGCTTCATTGATTTTTTTTTTTGTGTGTTTTTTATATTCGTAATGCATCTATTTGAAAGACATATTGAGCGTGTTCGAAGGCAGTTGGCGTCTGACCCTTCATGTGGCTTTTGTTCTTGGCCTACTGAAACTGTCCTTCACATTCTCCGTGATTGTGAGCGTGCTCGATCTACGTGGAATGCTATTCTCCCTGCCTGTGCTCGTCATTTTTTCCATTTAGATGCTCAGCCTTGGATGAAGGTCAATATGCTCTCTAGAGAGAAATGGAATGGTGATGTTCCTTGGAGTACTGTTTTTGTGTTTACTTGTTGGCATCTATGGTGTTGGAGAAATAAGCATGTTTTTCAGAATGAGGATACAATCCTTTTTAGTCCAAGGCAAGTTATTTGTGGGGCTGCTCAGGAGTGGATCAAGTCAACGTCTAATCTCACTGTCAGGGTAAATAAAGTTCAAATTCATGTTGCCTGGGAGCTTCCTGGGCCTGGACAGTTCAAGCTGAATGTGGATGGTTCAAGGAGAAGCGTTACTGGCTGCATTGGTGCTGGGGGAGTCATTCGTGACCCGTTTGGTGGCTGGGTAAGTGGTTTTGCTATTAATTTGGGAAAAGGTCAAGTTCTTGAGGCTGAGATATGGGGTCTCTTCTTTGGTTTGAAGTTAGCAATTGAGAAAGGCATCAGTAGTCTCATTATTGAGATGGACTCAGCTATTGCAGTCAATCTCTGTCAGATTTCTTCCATGCTTTCTTTGCACCCTTTAGCTACTTTGGTTAGGAACTGCTGTGACCTTATGCAGCAGGTTCCCAGGTGTGCTCTTCAGCATGTTTTTCGTGAGAAGAATATTGTTGCTGACCGGTTAGCGAATTGGAGTTATCAAGTGGATCTTGGGCTATGCGTGTTTGAGCAGGCTCCTAGTTGGTTAAGTGATTATCTTGTTGATGATCTGCTTGGAATTGTTCATTCTAGATTGGTCTGTTTAGACCAGGTTGTGTAGTCTGTTCCTTGGGGCTTTGCCCCCTTTCTTAATAAAAAAAAAAGACATATTGAAACATGATTAACTATCTTTGTGACAAATCCATTAAGGTCAACGCCAAAAGAGGGCATGTCCTTCTGCCACGGTTCGGATGTGCTGCCTAAATTTCCGAACTAACCGGTTCAAGCCCAGCAAGTCACGTGCCTGTGGACATTATTTGTAGATTTTGTTTGCTTTGCTCCTTCCTGAAATTCGCTTTTAGATTTGCATTTTTATTTATTCTGTTCAAGTGGACCCAGCAACCACCTTAATTGTAGAAGGAACGTGGACTCGCTAATAAGTCCGTTTAGGTTTAGCAAACCCATTATTATTTTCAAGAAACTGTTTAAAGTTATTTTGTAATGAGATAATTACGTGATGAGAGAGATAATGAAAAAATGAATATATATATATATATATGTAGTAAGTAAGTATCTCTTGGACTACAAGCTCCACAAATAATATTGTCCTATTATTTCATGCGAGTAGAATGATGAAAGCAAGAATGTCATGATCATGATGGTTAGAATTTCTGGCCGAAGATTTGTTCCTCATCTGCAGATTGAGATTGTTGGTCAAGTACATGACATCGTATTTGGGATTAATCATCCCAACATAAAAGTAAAAAACTGCCATCCTAATTTGGTGATAAGGCAGAATATTACAAGAACACAGAAGGTGTTTTTTGTTTTGTAAATGATACTCAATGATTTGTAAATGGAGGCATTGCAAGCTGGAGCGAATGTGTGAGTGGGAGATGCTGGTTTCTACTAGGCCAAGATGGAAGAGGGAGGGAGATAATGAAAAGGATTTAAAAAAATTCAAGAACGCGAAGATCAAGGGAGGTTGATGGGAAAAGGAAAAGGGTCTTACGACAAATATTGTTTTTCAGAGTGATGTTCTCCAGATCATGATGTCCCTCAAGAATTTTTCTATTGACAGGTCTATTGGCCCAATTATGGAAGATACCAAGAGACTTTTGTCACAAATCATTAGGGAAGGTTTTACCCACATTCGTCGCACAGCAAATAGCGTGCCTCACTATATGGCTCGATTTGCCTTGCATATTGGGGCTTCTCTAACTTGATTTGAATAAACCTCAAACTTTATTTCTGATGTTTTGTTTGAGGATTGTAACCATTAATTTGTACTGGCAGCTTAATAGGGGGATGGGTTTTCTCTACTCCGTTGTTTATGCATAGAGAAACTCATCAAACCCTTGAGGCATTGCCTGACCATTCTGTAATCTTGGTTCTCCTCCTATCAATAAATCACTATCGTTTCCCCTAAAAATAAAAAATAAAAATAAAAAGCATTACTCTCTTTTTTTGAGCCAACACTGGTTTTTAAGTTAAATGATTAATAAAGAAAATTCAGAAAAATAACAAAGTAATAATGTTTGAACTTTGGCGAAAGACCTCCAGGCTGTGACAAGAGCAAGGTCTTAAATATCTAGGGTTTCAGAAATATCGGTGATTCAAAAACATGGAAATATCGATGGAAATATCGGGAAAATATCGATATCAATAAAAATTGGATAAAAACCAAGGAAATTGTGATAAATACATGGAAATTTTTAATGAAACTTTGTAAAAAGTTTATTTAGTCAATAATCTATTATTTTAACACAAAAGATTGGAAGGAAATACTAAATATCCTAAGCCCAACTAGTCAACAAGCCCAACAAGCCATACTAATAATATCCCAAGCCCAACAAACCATACTAAAATACTAATATCCTAACGCTATCTATCTAATCCCATCCATCAATGTCAGTCACTTTATTCATTTCTTTCTTTTCTTTTTCACACTTCACTCTCTCTTTCTTTCTCTCATTCTTTCCGTTTCCACCTCTTTGTGACTTTATTCCTTTCTTTCTTTTCTTTTTCTCACTTCACTCTCTCTTTCTTTATCTCATTCTTTCCGTTTCCACCTTTTTTCCTCTCAGTTTTTTTTGTTCTGGCACTTGGGGCAGTCATCATCACAAGAGAGATGTGAGAGCTCACCATGAAAAACTGTGGTTTTGGAGCTCTAAGCTCTCTTTCCTCCCATTTCTTTCTCTCCTCTCATTTCTTCTTCGTTTTCTTTTTCTCTCTTATTCTTTCTCTTTTCTTTCTTCTTCCTCTCTTTCTCTGATTTTCTAGTACTCTGATTTTTTTTTCTCTCGGTTCTATGTTTCTATCTCTCCCTCTATATCTCTTTCTTTGCAGATCTGGGTTCTTGAATATCTTGGTTAAGTTCTTGAATTTGATTTTTTTATTGTTCGGATATGGAATCTGATTTTTCATGCAAATTTAAAGCTCAGTTGAGGTTCAGATATGTTTTGCTAGATAGTTTTTTTATTTATTATCTTTTAAGGTTCATAACTTCATATATGGTTTTCCTTGTATGGACTCATCGATTGGTTCCATTAATGTTTCTAAAAATATCAGTTAGAAGTTGGAAGCTGGGATGCGATGTTCAAGCGAATTATTTCATTTTTGAAAGTTCATATCGCAATATTATCGATAATATCGCGATATGTTGACCGTTTGCAGCTGTCATTTGAACGAAAATATCGGTATCAAAATTATCGAGGAAATTATCGATAAATTGACGATAAATAAATGAAAACCTATTAAAATATCGCTGCCCCTAAAAAACGATAATTTCGCCGAAATATCGGTGAAATTATCGATATTTTATTCTCTGGACAAGAGATCTCCATGAAGTTGTTTTTGTTTTTTCCCTAGCAATTGTAATAAAGCTGCTCATGAAGTTGCATCTTATGTCGGTACAACGGGTGGCATGCTGCTTCTGAGGTTGCATGTTATGTCAGTACAACGAGTAGTCATCATTTTTGGGACCATACGCCTCTATTTAATAGCTGGCTGTTAATGCAAATGTAAGAGTTCGTTTTTGAAAAACATTCCTTTCTTCTTGGCCAAAAAAATAAAAAAAATAAAAACTATTTGGTGAAAGAGACTTAATGATCCTTCCTTGTAATAAATAACTGGTTTTTCAAGGTCTTTGGTTCACATGCGAAAAAGAAAAACCATTCGCAATTAACTGGTTTTTCAAGGTCTTGAGGAAGCCCAGCAGCAGCTGAGCCACCCATAAAAATAACCTTGTCAACAAAACCTTTTCCATGTATTTATTTGGTATTTAAATTCAATTTGCCCTTAATTGTGATTTAGCATGGTAATCACCTTGTGACATTGTGACTTGCCAAGTTTTCTTATAACATCTCCGCTTCCTAATTAGGTACAACCCTTTCACATGAGGTTACCAAACCAACAGTAGCATTGATGTCTGAATGAAACTTAGACTAGTCCAATTCCAATTCTTAGGAGATATATATATATATATATATATATATATATGCCATGGAATGGTTTATACATCTACGTCCATAAAGACAAAAATGGTGTAGTCTATGCAACTGCACCACACCACATACTTTGTGTAAGGGCTAGTCATAGCCGTTGATTGTTTAAGAAACAAAATTAACAACTCTACTATGATGGAAATACGAAATGGATAAGTCATTGCGGTTGATCTTTACCAGAAGTCCATATGATGTTGGTGCTGAGTGGTAACGGTGGTGAGCTTGTCCTCCTTAGGCGGTTTCGTCCCCGGCCAAACCGAGAAAGGAGTTCACCCAGTTTCGGGGCAAAAGCCAGCAGCGTGACCAGCAAAAAACACAAAAGCACTGAGAGCCAGGGCCAGGAGGAGGGTGGAGAAAACAGAAGCCCCAAGAGTAAAGCAAGGGAGAATGAACCAGACGCAAGCGAACAATTGCGAGGGCGTTCGTCATCATGAGGAGCACCACTGACAGTGAGGAGGAGTAGCTCGAGGCTGAAGGCCAAGGAATAGGCGATGACGCTAAACATCATAAGCACCATGAGTAAAGGGTGGGTGCAGAATAGATTTTGGTTTGGATATCGGATCTGGACTAACGACATGGCTGTGGGGATGGTGAAGGCGAAAATGCCATGGCGGATCATAAACGTGGAAGAAGCAGCAGCATCTGGCCTGATTTCTTGTGCTGGAAAGTGGATATGCAACTGGTGATGATTATAATTGTTGTTGATCACCACAATATTACTACTCCGAAAATTATTCAACCCCACATCACCAAAAGGATTAGGCATCGCCATTTTAATTTCTACGCTCCTAGCTGTGTGGGTTTTAGGCCGAGACTGAGAGAGGGGGAGGCTGAGATTCATTATGCAATAGCAAACCTCATGGTTGTAACTATAACATGCGCATTTAATTTTGATGTCACTTTCACGTCCTTCTGTTTTGAAAATTAGCGATATCACTTTCACGTACTTGTTCAAGCTAACCCACCAGCATTTTTCTACGTGTGGGCGGACCCAGCAAGTACAAGTTGTTCTACTGAATAGTCTCAAGGGAATAATTTCATGGTCCCAGCCTATGTTGCACGGACACGGGAACGCGACACAGGGACACGACGACACCAAAAATCTCAGAAAATTAGGACACGGGTACGGCTAGGATACGGCAATTAAAATAATAATTTATTCTCAATACTTCAATGTCACATAATTCCATAAAACAAAACAAATAACTAATGTTCATCATCTATACATAATAATTCATAGACCACAAAATAAAAAATAAATGATCTAACTCTCAATCTTCTTCAAGCATCTACGTCTTCATTGTTGTTATTATTTGTTGTGTTTCTTTTTTAAAAAAAAATAGAAGAAAGAATTGTCACCTCACCACCAAGTCCAGCTCTTCTACTGTTGTGGAGGGAGATAAGAAAAGAAAATAGAGAACATAAATAAATGCATTTGAAAACAGAGAAAAAAAAAATTGCAAAGAGACTTACCTTGTGCAAAACCAGGAGAAGGGGGGGAGAAGAGCTGTGAGGGAGGAAATGAACTTTGGCGGCAGAAAAATTGAGATTTAGGTTTTAAAAAAGTATTTTTCCACTTTTAGCCCTTATTTTTAAAAATATTTCAAATCAGTCCACCAAAGTTTCAAAAATCACTTTTAGACCCCAGATTTTATTTTAAAATTTTCAAACTGATCCCTGCTGTGTCTTGACCGTGTCCCAACCGTTGACCGTGTCCAATACGTGTCAGAACCGTATCGGCGTGCTGGAGTGTCGGACACTTCGACACTCCAACAGTTTGAAGTGTCTGTGCAACATACGTCCCAGCATGCAATGCAATGTGTACGTATTGACGACTGCGTCACAATCTGGCTGGTCCTTATTCAGAGAGTCCACGGTGGGTCCCAATACAGAGGACGTCAAGTTCTTGCTGTGATGGGACTAAAATAAGAAAATTGTCCAATGGGAATTAACCTACCTACGACCATGGGCAAGGATAAAGTCTGAAAACTAGAAATATGGAATGCTCCGCCGTTATATGAACTTCCACGTTTGACAAAATAAAAACATGTATTCCCTCAACATGCCCTTTTGTACACACTTTCACAGTTTAATGGACTGCAACCCATCGCTTTTCCCAAAAAAAAAAAAAAAAAAAAAAAAAAAAAAAAATATTATTATTAAACAAACAAAAGTAAATGATTGCAAGGACTATATTGAGATACTAATACAAAAACCCTTTCATGATTTTGAATGTTGTGTGAATACTGTATCAAAATAAAAAAATGTTTGAATACCCATTTTTATGATAAAAGATATAAATAAATAAATCATAGGCATCAAAGGTATACGATTTATACTCCTGCCATGCTGCAAAAAAAAAACACATGCAATATAATATAATACTAACTTTGAAAAAGAGAGCCAATAAAATCTATATGAACCCAAAAATAGTGGCTGAATTTATGTTCTATTCTAAAAACCACCTTTGATATCACATTAGCTTAACAGCGGTGGGGGAATTATTGTTGTCTGGCTCTCTTATATTGTCTTTTACTTCTCTGTTAGATAGATTTGCTTAATTTTTACCTTAATTAGTCTCTCTGTTTGCTTCTCTTATATTGTTTTTGTGTTTTACCTTAGCCTCTCTGTTTGCTTTATTTATAAATACATGTTTAGGATTGGGTTTATTTATAAATTTGTATTTTTTATATTGTTTCTTGCTCCTCATGCATTAGTCATTGAAGTTTTGCATGTTTTATTATCAATTTGGGTACCAAGTTCACTATATTCTCCAACTTTCAGATTATTCCGTTACAGCTTGTTGGTCCCTTTTCCCGCCGACACTCTTTTTGTGGTTTGCTCTTGGGTCGAGCAACTCTGTAGAGTGAGGAGGTCGTTGGATTAACACCAATGCCCCAATTGGATTTCTGGCTCGCGAAGAGGATTCTTTCAACTTATGAACAAAATTGAAAGTTGGATTAGGCTGACAAGAACGGATGAGCTCAGAGAGGGCCCTCTCAGCCCGTTTCTTCTATCCTGGTCTTGCGTTGCTTAGGTGTGCCATTATTGGATCTGAGACCAGCCCAATAGACCTGGTATAGGTGGTGTAGGATGTCGGTTTGTTGTATTTGCGCTTATTCTGGACTTCTACTCAAGCCATCGTGCTCCAAGGGGTACTGGCCTGGATAAGTTCTTTTCTATGCCTCAATTAAGAGGACTTCAATATTCTTTCATTTATGAGTGTCAGTTTGGTAGATACAAGCAATACCTAATCAAACAAGGGAGAAAACAGAGTTGTGGTCAATGTTACCCTATATGGGTTTAGAAACCTAACTTAAATCCATTGAGCCCTTAGATTGGGCCAAGATTTTGGTCAATTTGGGCCCAATAATATAGTTCATGCATGAATTAACCTTTACTATCAGACTAACGAAGCCCTCTTGCGGGTCTAAACCTCTGTTTTAGGTCCGAAGTGGCATATTTAAGCAATATGAAAGCAGGAAATTAAACTAGCATATATATATATAAACAGTTAAATAGCATATATTTAAAGAAATAGTCAAGATAAATTCCAAGATTTCTTTATCCGATTTTAACTTGATAATAAAGAAAGGCAGGAGTTATAAATTTATCCACTTAACTAATTCAGAATATCAATTACAATGTAAGAAAAACTGGAGATTTCTCTATCTAGTTTGAGCGATACATGAATTTAAACTGATCATTTAAAAGAAATCATATCATAAGGATGGCAGAGCAACAAAAGATGAACGCGGGAGTTGTCAACTAGTTATCTGAATATCAAGCAAGTTTGTTTGAAAAGGTCTTGAGTTTTTCAAGTGCTTTTGAGACGTTGCATCTAGTTTTGAAGAGAGAGTCCCCTTCTTCTATTGCGGAGGCTCTATATTTATAGGCAAGAAAGCTCAATGATGAAAGCTGAAAGAGGGTATTTGGCTACTATCCAAAGTCGGCAATTGATCTGTTGATCTGGACCAGTTCATAGGGGAAAGGATGGAATGTCTCTAACAAAACAGTTGGTTATACGAGGTGTTTCTCTAACTTGAGTTCTCTAATTCCGGGAATATATCCCAACAGTGTCAGCAACAAACAAATCCAGAACTCCACCTGCATTTTCCACAATATGATTTAACAATTAAATCAAACTCAAAACCCAAAAAAGAACAGAAATAGAATGGCATTTGGGCATTAGGGTAAAAGAATTTACTCCACAGCCATAGCGGAGGAAGACCCCAACAGGTGGCAGGATAATTGCCAATATCACTTCTAGAAACGTTTCTGAACCCATGATGATGAAGATGATGAAGATGATGAGACCAGTTGTGCTAAATTTGGTTGAGGATCTTATGCTTGTGCTAAGGATAATGTGGACCGAGATAATTAGATTTACTTTCAGTGAAAGAGAAGAAGTAGAGGATATATAAGAGAAGAAAGAACCCTTATCAGTTACATAGGTGTCACACTGCAAATTTTGGTAATGCCAAGTGGGGTGCGGATTGACACGTGTCAGATTTAGGCCTTGCTGTTTGGTAGTTCCGTGCATATCAATATGTTTTATTTTTCAGTTTGTTTATCGGGAAAAAAGAACAATTGATCAATTCAGCCGCAGTAGCAGAACTTGTTTTTTGTTGGTCAAAATAGATAACCAGTCAAACAAATTATTCTTTGCCATTGTTGGCAGCAAACAAATACAACTGAATATTTATGAATAAAAATCCAAAATTCCACAGGCTACACTGTTCGGTGGGGGCAAATTTTCTCTGCCAGAATAGGATGTAGCAGATTATAGCCGACTAAATATCAAGGCTGATAAACCTCAGGAAGTTGAAGACCAACACTTGCAGCCGATTTTCCAAGTACTTTTTTCATCTCATCTGATCTATCCACAGCAATGTTGTAAGAGAACAACAGGTCCTGCACATCCATTATACAAAGTTAGATGCTTGATGGAGATTAAAAAGAAAACCAACATAATGGAACATGACAGGGACCTTACAATTTGCAAAAAGAAAAAAACTTTGATCAGACAGAGCAATGAATTACATCCGTACCTGGTGATGGTGCACACTGTTAAGAAGAAAAGTGTAGTTATGGGCAAGCTTAATCTTCTGCTGAATGGAAGATGGATCTGACAGTTTGCAGTTGTTCCTGAATTCTTCAGTTACGTATTCTTTGAAATGCCTCGCCCTGTCTTCTTTGGCAACGTGTTTCTTGACAGCCCTGAGAAGGTGGCGGTACACCTTAGCAACTTGCAAAGCTTCAGCACTCATTTTCAACCTTTATGTCAGAGCTTCTTCTAAATTTGTTCTATTTCTCCACCACCCTGCCTCAGGAATTGAAGGTTTGATGCACGATCAGAAGCAAACTCCATGACAAAAACATATATTTGAGAAACTTATTCATAAGGGAAAGACGGTAAAAATTGAACAAAGCTAATAAAAAAGTATAAATTCAACAAGAATATCTCTTATAGATCTACATAAGGTACAAAAAAGAACAAAATACAAAACTAGTAGAAACATTAAGCTGCTGTCAATATAACAGAAGCAACAGGCAGGCCAAATACAACTACTGGCACGTTAAAAAGGATTTGATTAGGAAAGAGGGGTTTTGGGTGAACAGGAAATGAGCATGAAACTTGGCCATAATTTAACAGTTAAAGCAACATGAATCATGAAAAATAAAAATGAGTGGCACTACAACTTCACTTAAGCTGATAGAACAAGAGCTTTTAGCTGGCAAGTTTCAGTCATTTCCATCAAAGTGCCTTGTATTGTCTATATAGCAAGGTTTACGGTGGATAAAGACAAAAGAGACCAGAGGTACAGCCAGTACTAACTGAATGGCTGCATAATTTCAGAGCAAAAAACCCAAAATGCTGCTGCCGCTACCAATTGATAACAGAGCAGCAATACAAACAAAGCCCCATCAAATACCAACTGCTACCTGTGTCCATGAAAAGGGCTCTACGTATTCTAGGCTAATGGCTAAACCAAATTAAGAAAGGGCGCAAACCAAGCTGCTGCTACTATCTACCATAAGCTTTCACCATTCTATAGCAAGTTCTTACAGGAATTATCACATATGGGTGGTCTGCAATATACCAATATCACACTAACCTCATCCAGCCAAAAGCGTAAATGCAGAAAGTTTACAAAAAGACCACATTCAATTGGGAAAAGTGTGAAACAAAAACTCGGAATGCAAAAACCCAAAAACCCACTAACCTGTGGAGGAAGCCAGTAAGGATTTGAAAGACTGTAGAGGTCTCTGGTTGTTGCAGGGTCAAAATGTACTTACTTTTTGGGCTTGCTATAAGCGGGTCCTGAATAAACAGATAAGCCCATATAAATATTGCCCGTTTTATTCAACCCACGCGAATGGGCCGGGCAAATGGGTACGGGCAGAGACTCCAATTTTTAAATGTTTGTCTTTGAGCCAAAATGGGGAAGAACACTTGAAATAATTTCCACTAATAAAAATGCCCCAAAAATGGTTCTTAATAGTTGGTTAAACCCTGGAAAAACGTAAGGTGTCATGCCTTTTTAGAATTGCTAAACTGATTGTGAATTCCGCTAAAAAACCAACCCATTAAAACTTGATTCAGTGATCCCAATTAGTCCAAGAAAGTTTCATATCCGTATCAATGGAGGGTTGCTCTTATTACTTGGCAATGGTACTGGTTCAGCTAATATATGGTGGATCAAACATCCTCATAAAATTCTCCCTTGCAGAAGGACTCAATCCAATTGTGTTCGTCGTTTACCGCGGCATGTTATGGCCATGGTTTTGGTAGGACCATTTGCTTGTGTACTTGAAAGGTAAGCTATCGATTCTTGCATCTCTTCATATTTCCAGGCAGTAAAAACAGAGAAAACTAATTCTTGAATGGATTTGTAAAGGAGGAAACAAAGGCCTTCACTCTCATTTTCTGTAGCTGCCAAAATTTTTGTGCTTGCCTTGTTTGGAACCACCATCTATCTGAATGTGTACTATGCTGGTTTAGCATACACTTCTCCAACAGTTGCATGTGCCTTGAGTAATGTTATTCCCAGCTTGACATTTCTAATGGCAGTTCTACTTGGGTATATTCTCTGTCCTTTCCTTTCCCTTGCTTAATTAGAAAGGGGAATATAAATGTTCTTTTTTTCCTGTTCTGCAATTTGCTTGTTCTTACACAGGTTGGAGAAGTTGAAGATTAGAACTGCTAGAGGTCAAGATAAGGTGGCTGGCACACTTTTCTGCATTGGTGGTTCTCTTGTTTTCACTTTCTGGAAAGGAGGATACCTATTTAAAGGTTTCGTAAATATATCTGTTGGTGAGATGAGGCATGTGAAGGAAAACTGGATCAAGGGGCTTTTCTTATTCTGACGAGTCACATTGCATGGAGTGCATGGCTAATCGTCCAGGTGATTTTATAATTGAATTAAGATGACACCCTTTTATGTCACGTAATGTCCAAGTTTAGTTCTTTGTCCAACTTTGGCTCTCTGGTCTCACAGGCTGTGGTCTCCAAAGTCTACACTGCTCGATTATCGCTAACCACGATGATATGCTTTTTCGCGTCGTTGCAATCTTCTTTTCTTGATCTGTTTTTTGCAAGAAATCCAATTTCATGGAGACTGGAGTGGAACCTGCAACTTTCAACCATCGCCTACTGCGTGAGTGTTCTCTTTCTCATATCTTATTATTAGGTTCACAACGTTGATTTCAACAATTGATCATGCAAATTCTTATCTGAATCTGTAGTTCGATTTAAAAACCTCACAGCAGAACATGTAGAAGAGAACATTGTCTTGTGTGTGTGTGTGTATAAATTAAATAAATGGGACATCCTATTTTGTTGTGTCTTATTGGGTATTTTTCTCCTTGTTGGTATAAGATTTATTTGAATCTGTCACAAGTTCTGTTCTTCATCCACTCCTTACTTTTGCAATAGGGAGTTGCAATCTCAGCATTAGCCTACTACTTGCAAACATGGTGCATCAGTTACAAGGGACCAGTCTTTGCAGCTATGTTTATTCCACTTCAAGTCATTATAGTGGCATTGTTCTCGGCAATTTCTTTCGCAGAACGACTTCACTTTGGCAGGTAATAACCTGAAGAACACAGACACCTTCTTCCTATTCCATCTTACTACTTCCACATTTGATGGTTTCACTTATCCATTCTATCACGGTAGTTTGTTTGCCATGAAAATTAGTCACAAATTTAATGTGGATTTTGTGTAAGTGGTGGTGTGCAGCTTGATCGGAGCGTTTCTCATTATCGTGGGCCTTTACTGTGTGCTGTGGGGAAAGAAGGAAAGACAATCTTGTTGCTGAACAGACAGAGAATGGAAAAGGGGTACTTGAAGACATTAAAGTTCTGGAGAATGATATTTCAGTCATAAATCCAGTCACTAGAGAAAGGACATGATCATAAGAGTTCAGTTTCTTTTTACACATTATACAAAAGATCAATCCCGGATAAAATTTCACAGAGGTAAATGCACACCTCCTAATTATAAATGATTGCCAAATTGATAATGGTTTGAGCCCTACAATTCAATCCATATGAACTTATTAATACAAATAAACAAGAGAAATCCTAGTTCTCTTTCATGGTGTCATTTCAGGGAGTTTTCAATATCAATCACAAACCGGTATATCACAACACTTTCTAGTAGCCTCTCAATAGCTTCATTTGCATATTGAATTGGAATTATTTCAATCATTGGATGAATTCCATTTGAAGCAAAGAAATCTATCATTTCTTGGATATCCTTTGTTCCACCTGTTACACTACAGAAAAGGTTTTCATACCTGCCAAAAGGCCAATGCATGGAGTTCATAATATATATTTGCAATTGCAATAACAGTTGGATATATAAAACTGTCATTTCAATCATTTGAAACATGCCAATGTACGGATATGAAGGTTGGCAGGACTGATTTTGACTTCACTGGGGAATCCCACCATAAGACCAGAACTCCATCAGTTTCAATAGTTCCATGTATTGATCAAAAGGGTGATCACCAGATGCTATATCAATTATAAAGTCTACTGACTTCACCAGGGCCTACATAGCAAACAATAACCGATAAATACTAAACCTATAGGATGAGCCATCATTTCCACTATTTTTTCTATTGTTCATGTGATGAGGTAAGAAAGTTTATGTACTTTTACCTTCATCTGATTTCTGTCAGACGAGACCACAAAGTTATCTGTACCCAGCTGACTTAAAGCTTCCTCTTTCTTGGATATGCTAGTGCTGAAAATTGTTACATTCAAACCAAATGCCTTTTGCCAAACTTCACTGCCATGTGACCTAGGCCACCAAGGCCAGTCACCCCTAGAGATTTACCCGGTTGGTTCATCTTATGGCATACCATCGAATCATAAACAGTAATTCCAGCACAAAGTAGAGGGGCTGCCGAAGCCAATGGATAGTTTGCCGGTATTAATGTATGATTGGATGCAGCTTGCTTCTTTATCAAACTAGCGTCCTCATGAAAGGTTGGATCTCCTACTCTTGCAGAGAGGTATTGCACTTTTCTCCCCTCTTAACATTGGGAATTTTAGGTGCACGTGGATATGGTATATGTAAGAATGAGATGCTACTTCTCATCTAACACGTTGTTTGAAATCTCATTTATAATAGTTTGTATATATATATATATATATATATATATATCTTCGTTGTCTCATTAGAATGTTTTGTATCCAATTTTTCATGTGCAGAGATTATATTGATGCATCTCAAAGCAGAAGAGCAGGTTGTCAAGTGCAATGAGAAAAAGTTTGTCATTGGGTTTAGTTCATAATTACCATGGATACATTTTAGAAAGTAAATTCTTACACTAGCAATTTTATGCTCTGAAATTCAAGATTCTTTTATCCCCAAAATGTTGGTGGATCCCTATTTTTTGTTGTTGTATTTATGGGTACCCGTAATATTTCTCATAAATAAAATCCATTTTTTATTCTTGCCTAATGGACTAATAGTTGGAAATCATTAGAATGGGAGGTACCGGAAAGAATTTAAATTCTCATTCCCCAATATCACTCGTATAAATAAAAAAAATTGAAGAAATATCTCTATCCTAATTAGCTAAGTGGTATTTTAGCCCTAAACCCTAAAATAAAATGACAAAATTGTATATTCAAAGAGTGTAGCCGGGCGGCTATACGGGTAAAATATATTATTTTAAAGGTATGGCCGGTCGGCTCTACGGTTTGAATATATTGGAATATTTTAAATGTATAGCCGCGCGGCTATACGCTT